GAGTACGGCTACGTACGGCTACTAGTACGCCGGCGGCATGCACGGCCGAGCGTACGAGTACAGCTACGTACGGCTACTAGTACGCCCCGCGGTCGTACTAGTAGGAGGAAGTAGGCCTACTAGTACGACGACCGGGCTAAGCAAGCCTATTCTGACTGTTGGTAGATGGTGGCGACGCGGGCAAAGTCTGAGTTGATGACCGAGCGCGGGGGGAAGTAGCGCGCGCGGGCGATGCCCGTCGCGTTGGTGGTTTGCGACGCTCCTTCTCAGCCGCCAATGACGCGTCGCCGCGCGCGGCGTGCACCACCGCTTCCTAGAACGATAATAGAGGCAGACCCTCCGCCCGCTGGGTTGCGTCCAGCGCCGCGATCTCCGACTCCGTGGAGGAGCGGGAGACTACGGTCTGATTCTCGCACACAGAGCTCAAGGGAAAGAACGCGTCGGGCCCCACAAGGGCGACGGGGGCGCCGGCGGTGGACTTTGACGCGTTGACGCAGTCCGCAAACGAGGCATCAATGAACAGCACGATCGAAATTTGTTACGACGCATCACCAATCCATTCGTGTTTGGCAGTGAAGACGCGTGGATTTGAAGCAATAAACGGGTCGATGCAATCTTTTAGCACAAGCGTAATTCCACCGGGTGATCTCCCTGGCAAGCATGCAAGCCGGATGGATGAGATCAAAGATGCAACAACGGGCTAGATACAGGATCTTCATGAGGACACTTGCGGCGTCGGGTCCCAGGACACCGGCATCCTCATGATCTTTGACGGTTAACGATGTATCCTCAATGCCAGGAGTGTCAGCATGTGGGTGGGCGTCGCAGGCGAAGCCCGCGGCGTCGGGCGCGGGTTTCGCAAACGACACGGACGGTCGAGGCGCGGGTTTGTCAACCGGCGCCTTCGACCGAAGCTTGGTCATTCGCGGCTTGGGCGATGATGATTATTTCCACCGGCATTCAAGCGTCCCCGATAGCTTGGAGACGCATTCTAGATACCGCTCGACGCATTGATCGGTAAAGCCGAGCACATCGTGTCGAATTCCACGCACGTTGGACGCTGAGGTGTACTGCTTGTGGTCATGTTCAGGAAGGATAGGTCGAATCAGAATTCATACGCTTGCCGAAGACGTCCTGCGGCACTTTCCAAGTGTCTCGGGCACATCCCAAATCATGGTCGTATTTCGTGGGAGGGTCCAGTTCGATACCACTGTGTGCCGTATCAGATCCCATCGCATTTTCAAGGTTGTCAGTGGGTCATGACATCTTGAAGTCGTCGACATAAACGGACAGGACGAGGTCAAGCTCGCCATGTTTCCACGCACATACCCAGCCGGGAATGGGGCGAAAGCCCACTGACTCTAGGCTGGCACGGCAGCGTCGCTCCCAGAAGACACCTTCCAGTGGGCGGCCGCACAAATCAAGTCGCAAACGACACACGGGGTTCTTGTACCTTGCCCAAGAGGGTGGTTGTCTCCATTTGGGTAAGGTGATCCACGCATCCACTGGGTCAATGCGACCATCGCCATACAGCAGGGCCTGCGCGCACGCACCCGGAGCGTCACTTCGTTGACCTCCGCTGCCAGGCAACAGGGAAGTGGCGTCGCAAAGTGCCGAGGCCTCGGTGCGGGAGGCGCTGGAGGCAGCGTCTGCGAAGACAACTGCGAGACCACTTTCGTCTTTCATGTTGTCGCCCTGGACCACGACGCGTCCTTTCTAGAGTTCAGGAGGACGTTCAGCGCGCTTGACAGACGAGAGCTCCAAGATGTTCGCGAAGTAGACCTTCTTGGATTATTTACGGGCGTTTCGTGCAACGTCGTCACGTTCCATCACCGTGTCGAGCATCCATGACTGATTATCCTCCAGGCGTTCATATTCTTTCCGAAGTGCCTCCTGTGCTCGAGGTTCGGCCGCAGCCTCCTTCTTGGCGAGGTTGCGGGTGACGAGGTTGCGAAGGACGATGTAGGGCCGTTTCCAGAAGGTGGATTCAAGCTTGCCTCTGTGGCTCTATTGGCGATCCGGAACACAAGGCATCATGGGCATCATGTTAGACTTGTCGGCCATCACGTGCGATCGCACAACGCTTGCAGGATTTGCATCCGGCATCAGGCGGTAGTAAAGCACAGTGATGATGTCGCGTGGTCCGTCGGGAACGTTACAGAAGTCGTACGTGATGAATCTTCCCACGGTAGACCAGGATGGTCCGTCGCCGTCGGTTGGTTGAAATCGACGGGTGTTCTTGTCTGCGCGAGTCCATTTGCGAAGGGCAGAGTCGTGGCGGACCTTCCGCGCACGGATGGCGTCCTTAGCGCAGCTCCATTGTGCCATTCGTTCTCTCTTGGACATCGTATTCCAGAATTCCGGCAACGCAAAGATTGGTCGAGAGGTCGCCTGGACGCGAATGCCCCGACCGCGGACATTGATCTTCCCATCGGCGGTGATGCCGGGACGCTTGTAGAAGCGAGCGATACCTGTCCAGGGCTCGCTGAGGTGGCGGTGGTCGTTAGCGGAGCCGCCCCAAACGTCGCGGAAGTATTTCTCCCTTTCGAAGCTCGACGTAGTTTCACGGTTGCGAACAAAGTCGATTCGTCAACTGGAAAAGGGATTCCGATGACGTCGTTTGTGGGGTGGAATAACTGAATCTGTGGTGTACGAATGTGGCGTAGGATAGCCTCACCGCGCTGATCCCAGCAGTCGGGCTCGGGAGCCGGAGCCGTAGGTCCAGGGGCCTCAAGAGGCGGCCCCCCGGAGCCGAGAGCCTCGGAGTGTTCCGGTGCGGCAGGAATCGAGAGACTAGGGTCGCCCCAGTCAGCTGGGCACAGGAGAGTAGGATCACCCCGTGCAGGGACACCCACAGGTCGAGAGGCTTGGAACGAGATCAACTCGCGTTTGTCTGGGCTGTGATATCGTAGGAGGCCTTCGCGGACATGAAAAACTGGTTTCCCGTCATGAATCACAATGTTCTTGACACGATGAACACGGCAGTGTTCCCCGTCAGGGTTCTTGGCGTAGGTGGCCGCGTCAATGACGAGGTAGTCGCCAGACCATCGCCCACACGAGTGGAGGTGGTAACCCATGAACAAACCTTCTCGAATGGTCTCGTCGAACTTCACCGCGGACTTGTTGAGGTCCGGGTTGGAACATTTCCAAAAGATACGGGTACCAAAGGGAACGATGTGTCCTTTGAAGGATTCTCCGAAGTGAACTTCGCGCGAAGAGAAGTCTGCGCATGCATCCAAGATTGCACAACTCCGTGACACGGTTGCACAGTGAAGTTGCGGCCACAGCATCATGCCTGCATAGCTTTTTTCTACCACTCACGACCCAGCCCTGAGTTGTGAAGTACAGCTCGTGTGCCCTGTATGACAGACTTAACCGCACGCTCGGCCATGCCGTTGCGCGCTGGCATCACGTCGCCTTCCCAACTGTCGGCGCGCTTTTTGTAGCTCCCCAGAATTATATGCATTGATGTGTTTGACCTCATTATTTGGGGCGAAGGATTCCAGGAACGATGCCTTTGATGTTTCGGCGTCTTTATGTTTTGCTGGGTATGCCATAATGGTACCCGTGAACTTGTCCAGCACAACCAATGCGCAATTGTCCCCTTACTTGTCGGCTGCTCCATCCGCCGAGAAAGCGATGTGGCGCCCGGCCGCCCAGAAGGCGCCCGGACGCGGGGCCGCCCGGCCGCCCATGCAAACGCCCGGGCGCCCGGATGCCCGGACGGCGCCCGGGCGCCCGGACGCCCGGACGCCGGGAGCGCCCAGGCGCCCGGGGCGCCCAGACGCCGGGGCGCTCGGACGCCCGGGCCGCCCGTGCGCGCGGACGGCGTCAGGCGGAATTGTGGTATTGTGGGTGCCCTGCAGGTCGTGGGGACCTCCCTCGGAACACCCCCGGGGGCACGCCTCTTCCCGGACGTGCGGCGCCGGGACTCTTCTCTCATGCGCCGAAGGGGCCCAGGCGGCGCACAAACAAGTAGGCACAGACCCCAGGATACCCCAGACTTCCCATACTTCCTGGTTGCTCGTCTCCCCCCACTCACCCACTTCCCATGTTCTCCCGCGTCTTCCTGGGAATCGGCGATCTGTTGTGTCTGTGTGTTTTTTCTCCGGTCTCCAAGAGTTCCGACCGTTTCCCCAGGACTGGTTCTTCATGCCGGGCCGTTTTTTGACGGACCCCGGGGCCAGGCAAGGGGCCCTGGAGGCCGAAAACGACCGAGAACCTCCAGAAAGCATCCAAAAAGCTCAGTGGCAGCAAGTGGGAAAGACGAGTCAGCATCGATCGTGGCACTACTTCCAAGAGTGGTGCCTTCGAAACCTGAGTGGGCTTTATGGGAAACTAAGAAGACTGGTACCACTGCTCCCCAGACCTCTCCCAGTGTGCGCTCTGACCAGATTTTCGAGGCGACTCCAGCGGTGACGACGAGGGCCAACCATGAGGTCCAAAAAGGCGAGAACGAAACGTGGAGTGGGTAAAGTCTAGACCTGGAGGCAGACAATAGAGGCCTCCTAGATGGGGTCGGAGCAGATGGGGTTGGAGGATCGCGCCGCATCGCCGATGCATCGCGATGCACTGGCGATGCATCGGCGGCGTCGGCGACGCATCGGCGACGTCGGCGTGGAGAAAAGCGGGCTCCACATCGAGCCGCATCACCGATGCATCGGCGATGCGGCGCAAGCCTCCGACCCCATCTATAGGAGAAGGAAAAAAAGGTATAAACATAAACTGTTGGCGCTCCGCGCGGATTTCTTGGATCCGCGCTGGACCCGCCTCCCTAGCGCGCTCCGTGCGCCAGGGGCGGCGCGTGAGGCCCCGCCTGGGAGGTCCCCAGCGCGGATCCAAGCACTCCGCGCGGAGCGCCAAAAGTTTATGTGCATGGCGTCTCGCCGTCTTCGAATCCGCTCGGACTCCACCCGGGAGGCCGACCACGGCCAAGTGCCTCCCGTCGCGCTCGCCGCCTCGTCGGCGCGAGCGCGCTTGGGGCTGGCCCCGCCCAGCTCCTGCCGCGGCGGCCGCCGCCCAACGCCGGGCCCCGCCGGGCTGGGCGCTGGCCGCGCCCGCACTACGCCCCGGCTCTGCAGGCCGGCGCCGGGGCGCCTCTGGGTCGAGCAGGGCCAGGAGTGTGATCTCGAAACCTATCGTAGACTCAGCTGCCCGGGTACGCAACACGCAACACGTATCGTATCGATACGGAGCTCAACACGTAGGCTGAAAACGTGGGTCCGACGAGATAGACTCGCCAGAACGTGGTCCAATGCGTGGGGCCAACACGCAACGTATATTGACACGGACGTCTTGAACACGGGACGTATTACGTTTCAAAACGGGCGTATCGAGGCAACTAAGATCATATGAGAGAAATCTGGGCCACCTTCCTGGAGGCTTCTTGAAACAACTCTGGGCCGATTGCTGCCCTTCACGCTGGAGGGGCGAACGTGCTCAAGAAACTGGGCCAGCTTGCCAGCAGGTTCGTTGAGAAACGCTGGCCCAGCTTTTCGGGAGGAGGTTTCGTAATCAAATGCTCGACTGTAGGGGATCGAGCACAGAATGGGTTCACCCCAAAACAGGAGAACGAACAATGACATAGCTGTTTCTCCCGGCGCCTCCTGGCGCCGGGAGAAACAGCTATGAGGAGAGGGAGGGGCGAGAGTGCAGAGTAGCAGCGGGTAGGGCAGGGAATCAGCTCACGTAGCTGTTTCTCCTGGAGCCTCCTGCCGCCGGGAGGCGCCCATGCATCGAGGAATGGGCCCGGCGGCGGGGCCGAAACCAGCTGCATGCAGCAGACTCCGTACACCCCCTTTCCCTTTCCCACCCTTTCGCGCGGCCCGCCTCGAGTCGCGAAAAAAACACGACGGGAGGTGTTCGACCAGCGTCGGCCTCCAGGGACCCTTCATGGGCCCTGGGGGCCGTCAAAGAGCACGACTCGGGATGAAAAGACGGTCCCCGGGGAAGGGGTCCAGACCTCTGGGGGGTCGCGAAAAAATCACATCGCCATGGGGTCTGGGCCCAGCTCCCTGGACCTCTCCCCGGGGGGGGGCGCTCGGACCAGAAGTATTTCGAGAACCCCGCTGTGGCGTCGAGGGCCCGCCGGGAGGCCAAGAAGGCGAAAGCGAGGGAATGGCAGCGGTAATCGGTGCCTTTTCCTCCTACGAGCCTCACCCACTGGCCCTCGTCCGCGTCCCACTCCTCAGGGCGACGAGATCTATACATGTCCGCTGCTCCCTGGCCAGGCCCACACTGAACCCAGCAGCGGTGCATACGCCACGCCCTCTGGGCTTGGCCAGGAGGGCGTCTACACAGCCCCTGGGCCCAGGAGGGGCCCTGCCGGGAGGCAGTGGGTGAGCATTTGTCGAGCCAGATCGACATGTGAGGGTCCCGGGGTCCGAAACCCAGCGAAGACGCCCGACGTGAAGAATTGACAAGGGCGCATAACCTCGCGCCTCGCGCTGCGCGAAGCGCGTAGCGCGAATCACTTCGCGCCCTCGCGCCGCCCCCCAGGGGGAGAAGAGGAAGAGGAGGAGGAATCGGAGCAGAACCGCGAAGCGAAAAGCGCGAAGAACGTCGCGCCCTCGAGGGCGCCCTTGGTTTACAGTAGGAGCTCGACCACCAGGAACCTTCCACAAGAAACCCAACCCTGAAACCCCAGGACGTCCGTTCATCTTTGCGCGTGGGAACGCCGCGCTGTCCAGGGCAGAACCATCGAAACCCAATAGACCCCGAGCACCCTGGAGGCAAGCCGGGTGCTTCTTGGCATGGGTTCCCACTGTAGACGAGCACAGAGGAGGGGTCCGCGCCCCACAGAGGCGGGGGGCGCGCCCTGACGATGAGGACGACGGGCCCGGGGCCGCCGACGCCAGAGGAGGAGCAGGAGGAGGAGGAGGAGGAGGAGGAGGAGGAGGAGGAGGACCAGACGTGCGGCACTGGCCAGCAAGGAGGGAGGAGGAGGAGGAGGAGGAGGAGAAGGAGGAGGAGCAGGAGGAGGAGGAGGAGGAAGCGGAGGAGGAGGAGGAGGAGTGTCTTGGCATGGGTTTCCACTGTACAGCGCCAAGCTCACAGGGCTCTTGCCGCGCCGACTCCTTCCAGCCCATCGGGGGCGAGAGGCGGGCGTCGTACAGCAGGTCGTAGCTCGGGGGGCTGTGCGCGGAGCCGTAGCTCTGGCCAGCCCGGACGCGCGCGAAGCGGCTGGCGCGGGCGACGCCCCAGGTGCGGGTGCCCGGGCTGTAGTACAGGAACCTGGGGCACACAAGGACATACAGTCAAAAACATAAAGCTGGGCCAGCTTTTCAGAAGTTTCTTAAGGAAACGCTGGGCCAGCTTTTGGAGCCAGGAACGTACACTACTCATTTCCAGGATCCGAGGCTACCGATCCCCTTAAGAAACTGAGCCAGTTTTCCGGCAAGTTGGTGAAGAAACGCTGGGCCAGCTTTTCGGGGGGAGGTTTCTGAATCATAAGCGAAACCGTTCCAGCACTATACAGTGGAGGCCAGTCCCCAAGAAACCTTCCACAGGAAACCCAACCCTTGGACCCAAGAGAAGTCCACTGTTTTTTGGCCCAGGGACGTCACGCCCCAAGCGCGGGTGCCCAGGCTGTAGCACAGGGGCCTGGGGCGCACAAACACATACTAGCACTATTAGATGTCCTCCTCGGAGGCGCGCGTCCTCGGAGGAGGAAAAGGTACCCCTATCGCTACCCTCCGCCCGCTTTCCCCTTTTCGGGCCTCCTGTGAGGCCCTCGTCACCGCCGCTGGATTCGCCTCGAGATCCTGGGAGAGATCCCGGGAGCAGCGGTGTCAGTACCTTTCGCTTTCCCCACACACACACATAATACGAGCATCTTGTGTCTTGTGGTGTGTCGCTTCCCAGGCGGCAGGGCCGGCAAGCGCCCGCCACGGAGCTCGTGCCGTCAGACTTCGCGGCGCGCGCGTCGCCCCCGGTGGGGGGAGGGGGGCGACGCACGCGGAGCATCCGCACACCGGGGCGACGCCGAGAACCAGTCGTCCGCGCTCCAGTACGTCGCGTGCCCGTTCATCCGGAACTCGGCCCTGCGATTCTCCACGAAGATGGCGTTGAAGGCCTCCGTCCGGAAGCCGCCCAGCATCACGGCCCGGCGGCTCTCCGCGTGCGGGAGCGCCGCCGCCGCCGGCCGCGGAGAGGAGCCCGCCGAGGGGATCGGGGAGGGCAGCAGCGGGCTGGCGTGCGCCACGGCATCCGTGCGCCGGGCGGGGGGGGGCAGCTCCTCGGCAGGTGACTGCCGCCCGGGGGACCTGGAGCGCGAGCCGACAGAGCTGCCGAGGGCGTTGGCCACCTCGGGGAGGCAGCTCCTGGGAGGTCTTCGTGAGAACGATGACGAGTGACTGAGCCGGAGGAAGGGGCCGTGAAGCCGGACTGGGCCAGATTCGGCCCAGAATGAAGCCGGATCTGACCGGGTCAGCGGGACAGTGACGGGTGGGCCCTGCCGTCGACCGCGGATACAACCGCACCGATGCTGAATTCGACCTCCCAGGAGTTGCATCCGAGCCACGGTGGCGTGCCGCAGCTCCTCTTCGGGAAGCTGCTGCACAGGGGACCAGTCGACGTCGAACCCGGAGCTGCCGAGGGTGTTGACCACCTCCTCTTGGGCACGAAAAAGACGCCTCCGGAGGGAAATGGGTCTTGGACCCAAGAAGCCCTCCTCCCCCCCAGACCAGCTCTTCGTCCTGTGACTGGGGGGCCCCTGGGGCCCGGGAGCCTCGGAGAACCCGTCTCCCTTCGAGTAGGGGATCAACTACAGAATTGATTTACACCAATATTGAATGTTCCGTCGAACCCACGAGAAATACGCAGAATGTACCATAGATCCACTGAGCATTCTGCGCATGTTCCGTAGACTCGACGGGCAAACGAAGTTTGGGGCAGATCAATTCTGTACTCGATCCCCTGCTCGATCCCTCGAGGGCCCCTTTCCTTCGCGGGCGGTCCTCCATGGCCGACAGCGCCCCCGGCAGGTCGGCGTCGGGGTAGCTGCCGCCGCTGGACCCGCGCGACGACGTCTGGGCCGCCGCCTCCGCGCGCGGCCGCGGCGTCGGCGGTGGCGGTGGGCCGGCGGCTGGGGCCTCTGTCGGCGGAGCCGCTGCCGGGTCTGCGGGAGGGGGGGCCCTCGGGCTAACCTCGCTTGAGGTTGGAGGCGTAGAGATGGGCACCAACACCAACACAGGGGGCTGCCTCCACGGTGGGAAGATATGGTCCTAGATTCTGGTGTTGGTGGTAACCGTTTCGGCCAACTGAGAAGCCCGACACCATCACCGAGATCGGGATCGTCTTCCCTCGGTGGAGGCACACCGCCGAGTTTGGTGTTGGTGTCAACCTCTAGGCCTCCGATGAGGAGCTGCTGTCGGCAGGCAGAGGGCGGGGGGGGCCCTCGGGGGAGCCCGCGCTCACGGGGGGCTCTGGGAGCTCGGCCTCGCTGTCGAACGAGGGCGGCCGCTCGGCGGTGAACCTCGACACCTCTGGGTCGACCCTGGACACGTCGTGCAGGGAGTAGTACACGTCGCCCCCCATGGTGCGGCTGGCGAGGCTGAGCGCCCGGTAGCCGCCGACCCGCAGCTCCATCAGCTGTTCCGCCACCCGGTACTCCGTGACCGTGGCCGCAGCGATGGTGTAGGCGCACGCCAGCAGGCGCACACCCGACGTCTCCTCGAAGCCGGACGACGCCGCGGTCAGGTCGGACGCCACGGCCGCGAGCGCGAAGGCCGCCAGGACAGAGGAGTGGACGCCGGCGCAGGCCATGGCGAGGCAGGCCATCAGATGAGGGGCCACGCAGGGGGAAGCTCCAGGGACGATGGCGTTGCCGGCCACGATGCGGAGCACCTGAGTGGTGCCGATGACGGCATCCGACCACAGCCGCCCAGAGGGCAGGAAGAAGGCCATGAGCAGCAGCAGGGCCGTGCTCGCATCCAGCACGACAGCGTCTGAGGAGGAGCAAAGAACTGCATAAACATAAACTGTTGGAGGTTCGCGCGGACTTCTTGGATCTGCGCCGGACCCACCTCCTCGGCGCGCGGAGCGCGCACCAGGGGCGAGGCAGGAGGCGCCGCCGAGGGAGTCCAGCGCAGATCCAAGAGATCCGCGCGGAGCTCCCAAAATGTATGCTTTTGCAGCTGTTTGTTCTTCGAGTCTGCGAGCGCTCTGTTCGCCAGTAGGTTCAGCAAGTGGGGGAGCGGAAGCAGCACCCACCACAGGTCCCGACGGCTCGCGCTAGCCCGCAGGTAATCGGCGTCCGTCGTCGTCGACCACCACTTCCGGGTGAAGTCCGCGACTCCTTCAACGATCTCGGGGCGACCAATTCTCCTGAATTGCACGAGTGATTCTGCATCCTCACTCCTCCCTGCTCCTCCACCCTCCTACTCCTCCTCCTCCTCCTCCTCCAGAGAAGGAATGGCCTTCAAATTCCCCAAGAAAGCCGCCCATGGAAGCCCCATGCCGAGAAACATTATGATTCCCCAGGTGCCCAAGATGGTCCAAGACAGCCCCAGGAGGGCCCAGGAAGGCGTTTATCAATAATGTAGGCGCTCTCCTACTTTCGCTTCTGGTGACCCTCGGATGCCTCCAGATAGCTCCAAGGTCGCCTCAGGATGGCCCCAAGTTCGCCCAAGATGGCCCAAAGCGGGGCCCGGAAGGACTTCAGGAGAGCCCCGAAGACACCCAAGAGCGAAGACACCCAAGAGCGCCCCAGGAGAGGCCCTAGACAACCGCGAGAGGCTCCACGGAAATTCCTCCCTTATATAGTTACAGTGCGTACGTTTTTGGCCTTCCAGGCAGAAAATGTGCCCAGAGATGCGGCGGGGGGAAATAAATTCCATGGATCATCCCCTGTCCCAAGCACTCGCCCGCCCCCACAGCCATTTCGCCCCATGGCTACAAGGGGCCTAAAAGGCCCCAAGACTGGCCAAGAGGGCCCAAATAAGCCCCCAGATGCTCAAGGAGGACCACGAATCGCTGCAAGATCGCGCCAACACGCCCAAGATGGCCCCGAGACGGCTCTAGACGCCTCCAAGACCCAAGAGGGCCCCAAGAAGCAAAAAATCGCCTAACTCCCTTAGGACAAGTTCTTTATTCAATATTCGCATTTTGAGTTTTCAAAGCGTCCAAAGCGGCCCAAGAGGCCCCCAAGATCGCCCCAAGACGGCCCAAGATACACCGAAGAGCGCTCCAAGACGGCCCAGGAAAGCCCCAAGACGGTCCAAGAGGAGCCTAAGACGCATAAGACGGCCCAAAAGAGTTGTCTTGACGACCCCAAGAGAGGACTTGGAGGGGGGACAAAATGCCTTCGGCCCAGGGTCCGTCAAGAGGCCCCCAGAGTGCCCAAAAAGGCCTCATGAGGCCCCAAAGAAGCCCCCGAGAGGCCCCCAACAGGACCAAAAACTCCCTCCAATACGCCCGCGAGATGCCTCGAAGGTGCCACAAAAACGCCCCCAAAGAGGCCCAGAAACTGTCTCCACCATAAGCTGTTTCCAAAACGCTTGACTACGAACGTAAATGTTGCGAAACAATGTGCCTCCCCTTGCTTATACATGTTCAACCGTCTTGATGCCGTCCGTGAGGCATACGGCAAATGGACACGCCCTCACAGACCCTCCTCATCCTTATAGGGTGTGCGAGCGCACAAGAGCTATGCGACCGCCTGTTGCTCCTTAGCGTGATTTCAAATGAACACCCCGGCACAACAAAAGTACCCAAAAATCCCTTTGCCGCAACGACCCACGAGAAAACGGCAACAAATGACTTCATACGCCGCCTGTTCATCACTCTGTCGATATTACGCACAAGTTCCTGTGGCCATCTTCGCGGTCTTTTGGCCAGGTCCGGGCCTCTATGATCGCAGTGTCGGAGTTTTTGGGCCGCCCACTGAAGCTTATGAGCGTTTCTTGGGGGGTTCCTGGAGGTCACCGGGCCGAACGAAGCTGTGGGCCCTTTTTTAAGGGTTTTCCTGGAGGTCCCCCAAAGCGTTTCTTGGGGTCCTCTAACCAACCGGTGACATTTCGTGTGGGTCGTTTTAGGTTGTTTCGGATCCATTCGAAAACGATTCCACGTCGACGGTGTTTCAGAAACCGTGCCAAAACCTTTTTCATGACTACGGCATGCCACGCTGGTGCTGGACAGTCGACGTAATCTGCCGCCTCGGGCGCACGATCAACGGTTCTTTGAGAACCTTTCCCGGGTTGTTCGAAGAACTGTTCGGAGCCTGCTAAGAACCCCGTCGAATTTCTTGGGCCTTTTGGGAATTCCCGGGCAAGTCTCGAGAGTGTGCGGGAGCTCTCTGTGGCCATCCTGCCGCCAATCAGGGCCGCCAAGAAGCGTTCAGGACACAACGTCGTCCACGCGACTGCTCCAGAAAACTACAACCACCTGCCACCATCCCATGCCCAACCAACCCGCCGGTAAATGCCAACTGCGACGCAAGATGAACCAGCGGAATGACCGAAACAATTGGACCAATCTTCCCTGACGCACCATCAGACGCGTCGCCAGGGTGGGCCACCTAGGCATTTCGACTGAGAAACAACCAACTGTTACACAATGGACAGGTCGTTTGCAAAATTGGGCTCTCGCGCTGGAGCTGGGCGCGCTCATTCTGATTTTGGGGAAACCAAAAATCACACCAGTGGAAGGCGGCCATTCTAGGAATAGCGCTTTCGTTTCGCAGCCGCTCACACTTTTCATACAATGTCCCAACAGCTACACGAAAGAAGGGCGGCACGTGTAATGAAGCTCCCGCCGTGTTGCCACGCGCACCCGTCTTCAGAATCCAACGGCCACGCGGATGGAGGGCGGCTCCTTCTCGAGATCGGGTTCTCGCCTCCTCGGCCGAATCATATTCGAAGCATGGAACTGCGCAACAGCTATACGAATGGAGGCCGCTTCCAACTCAAAAAATCGATCTCGCCTCTCGCCCGAGACACCTTCAGGCCTGTGACCACGAGCCTCGTAGCGAGGAGAAGGAGGAGGAGGAGGAGGAGGCGAGGGCGCCAGCTGCAGCAGCAGCTGAACCGTCCGAAGCCTCGAGTGTCGAGGAAGAGCGAACGTCACCTGAGGGGCAGGTTCGTTCGATCATCTAGACGCTGCGCGGCCCAGCGCCGCCCGAGAGGTCCGCGGGGAGCCTCAGAACTTGCCGAACGGCGCAGATGCCATTGTAGCACTGGGTGTAGGTCAGGGGGCTCTGGAAGCCCCGCGTACATCGAGAAAGAGGAGGAGGGGGAGCCTCAAGCTGCGATACTGTTGCGCTGATGGAGGGCAACGCTTTCGCAAAGCGGGGGGGGGCTGCCGCCAGACACCTCCCTTAGCGTTGTGTTCCTTCTCCGTCGCCTACCCTGCCGCTCGAAGGATAAGAGGGCGGCCGCCTTCGAGAACAGAGCCCCCCGCTCAATGTGCGGGCCCACGGAACCCAGGTTTCTCAGGGCTGCCTCGCGCAGCGATGAAGAATGCCTGGCAAGACGCGAGGGGGGACTTAGGATGGGAAGATGCCCTGCAACGTCGTTCATACATTTTAGCTGTACCCTGGCCCTCCTCTTCCATCCTTCCTCTGGCGATTACCAATCGCATGAATAATAGCATAATTAGTAGCTGTCGCATTGGTATTAGAACTACACATAGTAGTAATACGAATAGTGTTAATACTTGCAGCAGCAGTAATAGTAGTTGTGGTGGTAGTAGTAGTAGTAGTAGCAGTAGCAGCAGTAGTAGTAGTAGTAGTAGTAGTAGTAGTAGTAACAGTAACCGTAACAGTAACAGTAACAGTAACAGTAACAGCAGCAGTAGTAGTAGTAATGGTTTTTTGTATGGGCCGTATTACTAACATCTGTGTCCCTAGAATTACGTATCGTACGGATGCTGTCTGAGATTGTTCGTGTTACTACTACCGCTACTACTGCTACTACTACTACTACTACTACTACTAATACTACTACTACTACTACTACTACTACTACTACTACTACTACTACTACTACTACGACTAGTACTACAATACTACAATTACTACTACTACTACTACTACTACTACTACTACTACTACTACTACTACTACTACTACTACTGCGACTACTACTTCTACTACTACTGCTACTACTACTACTACTACTACTACTACTACTACTACTACTACTGCTACTGCTTCTGCTACTACTACTACTACTACTACTACGACTACTACTACTACTACTACTACTACTCTACTTCTACTTCTACTACTACTACTACTACTACTACTACTACTACTACTACTACTACTACTACTACTACTACTACTACTTACTACTACTTACTAAACTACTACTACTACTACTACTACTACTACTACCACTACTACTACTACTACTACTGCTGCTGGTACTACGACGAGCACTACTACTACGACTACTACTACAACGACTACTACTACCACCTCGACTACAACGACAACTACTGATACGACTACTACTACTACTACTACTACAACTACTACAACTACCACTACTACGTTTGCTACTACTACGGCGACTACTACTTCTACTACTACTACTACTACTGCTACTACTACTACTACTACTACTACTACTACTACGACTAGTACAACTACGACTACTACTACTACTACTACTACTAACTACTACGACTACTACTACTACTACTACTACTACCAACTAATAATAATACTACTACTACTACGACTACATCACTACTACTAATACTACTACTATACTACTACTACTTCTACTACTACTACTAAACTACTACTACTACTACCTACTACTACTACTACTACTACTACTACTAGTACTACTACTACTACTACTAACTACTACTACTATACTACTACTACGACGACGACTACTACTACTACTACTACTACTACTACTACTACTACTACTACTACTACTACGACTACGACT